TTCCTCTAGAAAGCTCTCGACTTTTTTTTTGTTGTAATTAAATGCAATTATATCTTCTTCTCACTTACCTTTTTACATATTTATACCAACAAAAACAATCTGGAAAAAGAAACGATTTTTATATGGGTCCCTTTTTATATACCAAAAAAGAAACAAAAACAATCTGGAAAAAGAAACGATTTTTATTAACAATTTTTGTGTTACAAAAGAATCGATCAAGTTTCTTGTGAATAGAAGAACCAAGTAGAAGAACCAGAATCAAACTAACTCTCACGAACCCTAAATCAAACTGAAGATACTTGTGGATAGTTGACTAAATCAGCAAGACCGACTAAGATTGTAGTTCCGCACATAACCATAAACCAAACCCACCAAAGAGACACAATAGTCTTTCTTCCTTTAATACCATTATCAGACCAATCGTAGATCGCACGAGCAGATATCATCCCAGTGGAGAGAATCAAATTAACTATACGATGTATACGATCCTGAGCCAAGAATCCAAGAAGCATTGGAATGAAACCACCACGAATGAATGCATTTGCAGCATAGTAAGACTCTTTGAAGCAATTCTTTAACGTCATGGACTTCAATACACTTTCTATGAAGGTCGAGATGAATATCCCAATTGCGCCTGCCAAGAAGATGAGTATCGGGACCCAAAACGCGAATAATTTGTTTTGAAGCGCCATGCAAACGGGAATCGCCATTACACCGGTGAGGTAGTTCTTCAGAAAGTTAAGTGCAAATTCATCGGAATCAGTGAGCGAAGCCACCATTGATAACGAAGGAGAAGGACCAAAGAAATTCAACATCGCAATTTCAGAGGAATCTCAATTCGGAGGAAATTCAGAAGAAGAAAAAAAGATGAGATTTCTGAGGAATTGCAGAGGATTCTCACTGTGAAAGATGTTATGTGCTTTTATAAGCTTTTTTTTTTTTCCTTTGGTTTTGGCGCTGCAGAGAAGAAGATGAAAACAAAGAGGGGGAGATTTGATTTGGGCCAATATTGCAAAGCCCATATAAGAAATGTATTCAAGCCCAAATGTATACAGAAACGCAAAAGACAATGACCATTTCCCTAACATAATACATTTGGAGATTATATTTACTTTCCAAATTTTGTTTTTGGTAAAATGTTAAGATTAGATTCTCCAGATTTTGTTACCACGAGGAATTATTTTCCAACTATTATTGTCTTTGCACATTTAATCATCCCGAAATTGGCGTTGATTATTATAACATAACATGAACTATTTATTTAAATTTAACGAAAAGCATTTATTATTTATAACGACCTTTTTTTTTCCCCCCAAACACCAATTTTATGATGGGTCAATTTGGT